GCTTAAATCCTGTATAAGAATCGAGGATTAATTACTATTTGTTATTATAATGTTTTCTACCTAAATGAAATACACTTGATTTTGGATATACATTAAATATTCATTATTAAAATACTTATTTGGTTTATAGCATCTTTTATATACATTTACCTTAGATAATATTACTTCATAACAATTTTTAATTGAATAAACAACTGCCATTAGATGGGATGCCAGTTGATATTTATGAATTTTATATTATACATTAAAACGATAAATAAATTTACATTTTCATAAAATATGCCAACGTTTATATTACATAGGTAATAAAGAAATAATATATTTTTATTGTACTGCGAAACATTTAAAAAGCATGTGATAATTGAAAAAATTCAACAATATACAGAGAACATTTTAAAAAGGTATAATTTAGAAAATTTAATGAAACTCCAATGCACTAAGTAATAAATACATAGCAATTATACATTCTAATAATCTTTACTACATTGTTTCTTCAATGTACTATTTAAAAAATATAATGTATTTTAATAGGAAAACATGTACGCGAACGATGCAGATATTAAATCGATTTAATCATTGAAAAGTAAAATTTACGAATAAAATGTTTAACCATCCGTTATCTTGTTTATATATAAAGGTATGATTGACATTTAAATATTACTTATCAGTCACTATTATTTTTCAAGCACATATAAATGCAAATGTAAATATAAAATTTGTAATATTTATTTAGTGTATCGGTATAATATAAGTTACATCATATAAAAATTAATCTTTTTTTTTTATTATTATGAAAATTTCAGAAAAATTAATTCCAACGTGAACTTTTTAATTATTTTTGATGAATTAAGTAAATTAATTTCCACAAGCCATTCCTGGTGCCTTTGTTTTTAATTTAACTAACCTTAATACAGTACTGTGTATTAATATATTGTTTAAATTTTGCAAATTATATTTTTATTTAATAAATTATTCGACATTGCATTACATTTGAGTAAAATGAATAAAATCTTATGAAATATGAAATTTGAATTAATATAATGTAATTTATTAAAATCTTTAATTAATGTGAATTTTGTATGAATTAAAAATATAAATTTTAATAATATTTCATAAGATATATGAATGAGAGTTTTAGAATGTTCAAAATATTATATGCTATATAGTATAATAGTTTAAAATATTATTGATAATTAATTGATTAAAATAGATATATTACAATAATACGTATGTAATAAAGTCTATGAAGAAAATGTCGTGTGGTTCTTATCAATGGTAGGCTCGTGTTTTCAATTAGACGCCGTCGATGAAGCTTTTATGTACATCCGTATACTAGAATCCACGCAATTTCAATTAAACTTCGTATTCGTTACACTGTTACACTGTCCTGTACATGAGCACACTAATTTCTTAATTTTACCGATCACATAATTGAATTGATTTGGTTTTAAAAAAAAAAAAAAAAAAAAAAACCTAACTAAATACCATACGTATACTAAAAAACATGCAATTTTTACAAGTTTTTAGATCTTTAAATCAATAATTTCGAATAATTAATAGAATAATAGAAAATGAATGTCCTTAAATATTTTTTTTTGGTGGAAAATAATTACTTCTATAATACTGTATAAATAACTAATAATAAGAAATACTGTATAAATTACTCTTTCAGGGTTTGAATGCATTTAAAGTGCAATTAAAATGAAAAGAGTATTAGTAACTAATTATTTATAGAATAAATTTCAAAATTAATTTGATTAAATTCTATTTCCTATTTTTTACATTTAAAATTGAATTCTAAAAAATTTAATATATGTTTAATATCAAATTAATGGCATAAGTTAGGAAAAAGCATTTAAACAATCAATACATATAAACATTAATTTCAAATGCAATTTCTAAAAATTTCTAAAAAACAGCAATTGCTTTCCAACGAACATCACTAACAACTAAAACTAGCTCATTTGATAATTGAAATTAAATAGTACATTATTAAGAATATTCTTAAGTTAATGTATCTGTTAATGAACTTTAAAAAGACAAATTAAATATATTAACAAATAATATAAGAAATAAAATCAAAAAGTCACATAAATTTATATTTGGTCATAAACATAATTAAAATATTATTAAAATGAGTGTAATGAAACTATGCTTTAACCAACGTAAAATAGAAGTATTTTGCCTAAAGATTTCATTTAATTAATATTTTGCACAGGAAATAATCTCATCAATTATATCTTATAATTACGGCAAATTAAAATGGCAAATTCAGTTATTTTTATGTCTGAAAGCTAATTTTAATTCAGGTTTCTATGGTACCCTGTCGCCTTTTACTTAAACGTATCTTATCAAGTTGACGAATGTCAGAAAATGTTAATCAAACATAATGCTTTATACAAAATAAAATGTATTGTTTCAATTTCATATTCATAATTTTTATTGTATAAAAATTATATTATAAAATAATAACTTTAAAAATGTTTAGATTATGGATGATAACTTTTTATTACGTAAATTTTTGGTTTTTTCTTTAAATTAAAGGTATTTTAATGATAACTAAATGACTAAATATGTCACCTCACATCATAAAACCTATTAATGATTATTCGTGCAAAATTCTATTTTGATTTGCTAGGTAATCATTGCATTTTATATGCAACACTTAATAACATTGATTTTCAGACGTTAATTCATCGTCTCTATAGTAACACAATTCTCTGTCGATTAATGTGACTTGTCACATCTTTCGTATGAAAAATTTGTTTTATACCTTTTGTGTTTGAAAAAAAAATTGTATATAGTATTTTTATAACATACCTTGTTACGCATATGTAATAATTTGGCATAAATACATTATCATTAAAAAAAAGTATTGATCTAGCATGTGTAATAAGTTGTCTTATATTATTTTGAAATCTTGCGTTAAGAAATCTTAATACAAAAACATACTTAAATTGAAATCGAAGCTTTTAGATATTTTATCACTTTTTTTTTTTAAGATAATTGACAAAAAATATCTGCGTTAAAAGTCTGTAAAGTTCATTCGTATTTAAATATTCAGAACAAATAATAGAAAGTATATATATACAAAGTATAAATAGTACAATGCATAAAAGCAATAGAGAAAAAAATTAATTGATAAATCTAGCGTGAATAGTTTAAAAAATATTATTTCGATCAAAGTATTTTTGTATTAATTCGAACATATTACCCGTTCATTAAAAAATTAAAACTATATATAATATAAATATGAAATATTACAATTATTTTATTCCATATTATTATTTTGTACATAACGTAGAGCAATAAATATATGTTAACAATTAACATTAAAATTGCAAACATCAATTATATAATCAATTAAATATTTTGATATGTATATTCTATATGCATTAAATATAAATACCATGAATATAATTTAAGACTGATATTTAATTTATTTTTCAATTACAATTATTCTAATTATAATAATATTCATTAAAATTTCAATGAATAATTAAGGTTATTTATGATTCAATAAGAACATATTTCTCCCAAGCTGGTATTTGCAATTTAACGATTCGATGGCAACTTCATTTCATAGCTTTTCTCAATACGCTTTGGTACAGATTTCAGGAGCCAATGATTTCATGCTTTTCAGTTCACATTTTGATACATAATTTCACTTTTCATGCTTGTCCAAAATTCTATTCATTCGCTTGTATGCGACGTTGTAAGGTATAGGTATGAAGATAAATCACGCGCGATAATTAGCTCAAGTAAATAGTTACATTTGAAAACTCATTCTTTTATTAAATTGTATTTGTTATGTCTGTTAATGTAAAAGATTATTAATTTTTAGTAAATGAACAAAAACGAAGTTTGTATTACCGAATTAAAGGAGAATAATTTATAATTGATGAGTCTTTATATAATTGATACAAGACAAAATATTATTATTATAAAGGAATTATATCCAAATTTATTTGTCAAGTAAACCATCGCGTAAAACAAATAAATATATACTAATAAAATGACCTGAAATTGTCTCATTTATGTAAAATTTTAGTATTACAGAAATATATATCCATGACGTTAAAAAATATTAAAACGTTGATTTACATTTAGAATACATATTTATAAAATATATCAATAATACTGTCGAAAATTCAAAACAGTAGAATGAAGTATCGATTTTTTCATCGTCCTCGACTTATTTTTTATTTATTTATTTATTTTTTTTTTTTTTTAATTAACTAATTAATGAACGCAAAAGAAATCTGAAAATATCAAATTATTGATAAATATAACGTTTTAGAGGTGCACTCGTATTTCAAGGATTGTTAAAATTCAGCTCCAATTTATAATAAATGTTAAAATAATATTAATAATTTTCGTAATAAAAAAAAAGGCCGAAAATTATGAAAAAGCCATTATTACGTACGGTTGGACGGACGTTAATTTATACGATAAATACGTAAAACTGCAAATTGAATATTTTTCCATACGCGCTAATATTAGATTATGGGCAAGAAATTTGTCCGTTTCAAAATAAAATATTCTATAGTTTAAATTTATAAATTTGTAAGTGGCTTATCGAATTCTTATGTCCAGTCGATATTTCGAATTTTTGGATTGATATTTTCAGCGTTGCGTAACATTTCTACATGCAATTTTCAATAAAAATTTCAATAAACAGCCTCATTTTGATCTAATGAGAATGGTTCAATGCACTGCGAAAACAAATATACGCATCGCAATATTATGAATATGTAGAAAAAATTTATTTATAAATTAATTTATAAACATTTATCCAATGGTATCCAAAGTATTTCTTTTCGTTTATACATGCGCTTAAAGTACGTGCAAAGCTAGAATTTTATGTTCATTGTTCATGATAGCTCACTCGAGCTCTCGCATTTTATTGCAAAAGGCAACATTGAAGTTGCAAATTATCAAGCAATGTATAAAATAAATCGATTGCTAACGGAGAACGACGATGTCTGGCTCGGTTTCAGAAACATCCAGGATATCATCCCGAGGGAAAGGATCGGTGTACAACACAGGGAGCGGCAGAGGCAGGTTATCACCGTTCCAGGGCGTAGTTCGCACGTGCAAGCATCGCCGCGACATAAGCATTATTGGACTCGCATCAGCGAGCGTCGACGCGTCGTTGTTGGAGGAGGAGACCGGTTCAGCGTCCCAGTGCCGCAACTTTCCTACCTCGAGCCGCCCGTCATACGCTGGGTGTATGATCATTGAGGACCAGCCGCCCCTGTACGCCAGGTCTAGGCAGAGCTCAGAACTCCACCAAGATAACGTACGACGATTTCTGAATCACGTTGTCTTGCTCAAGCACAGGACCGCAAAATTTTCCAGGTGAAGTGGCAGTTTTTAAATAATAAAGCGCTATTCTAGTTAGCCTTCGCTACCTCGTGCCTTACCTTTACGAGACCTTATTTACAAAATTCGAAATAACTAAAAGTCATTTCTCCCCTGCTTTCGGCCGAGTAAATGCATCTTTTAAACAAAAAGGATATTATCGTTGGATAGAGACTATACCGTCGATGTTTTGACAAGGATGACTTATAATTTTTTTCAATTTGACAAAATATTGTTAATTTATTCAACCATGTTTGTTTTAATGTGACATTATAATTTGGCACAAACATAATATACCCATTATGATAAACGAAAAAGTCAAATGTATCTCAATCTTCAATGTAAAAAATAAAAATTAAAAATTAAAAAAAAAAATTGCTGTTCATTAAAAATCTATTGATTAATATTGAAACTCGGTTTCATGTAAAATTCATAACCATTTAAGATAGCCTTCGACAAAATTAGAATCGATTCAATACACCGAAATATTAATACTAATCTATTTCTTAAATTAATGTGTATAAGTACATTTATATCATATACGTGGTCAATGTTAGTGGTCGAGGGATGGGGGAGGGAGAGAAAAAAATCAATAGGATAGTAAAAGCATCCAATAATATAAACTCGAATGTTATAAACCTTCCTCTTCGTAATGTTACAGTAATAGGCATCGAAAGCTTCAACCGTTCAGGGAAACGTGACTGGTGTTCATCGCAAGCGCGGCGCAGCTGAGCGCAATCAACATTTACCGCCCTTACAATTCACGTATCCCGCTACTTGAGGGTAGTTGCCCTCGCCGGGCGAGTTTGCTAGGCGACGTTCAAATTGTCGCTGGCCGACGGAAATATAGTATCCGAAACAAGGACTTAGGCATTATCTAGTTAAGATATTAAAATACGGTATGCATCAAGTTGCATTATTGGTGGAGTACCTTTGGAGTTCATTTGGAGTAGAAAGAGATATTATCACTTGTTCGGAGCTTCTTCTTCTCTTTCATGTAGAATTTCATATATTAAAAATTTAGAAGATAATAGAGAAAAAGTTGCTATTATCGTGTATAAATAATATTTGCTCGAACTATTCCGTTTCATTTTCAATTTTTATTGTGTCAAATTCTGTATTAAGATTATATTAAAAAAAAAAAAAAGAAAAAGAAAGAAAGAAAGAATGAAAGAATCGTTGTTTAAATGATAGGCAATTAGGTGCACATACAACATTATATAACTATGAAAATAAAAGTGATTCGTTATATATAGAAAATTTACAAGACTTCGAAGAAATTATGCTAACATATTTTTCTATTTCACAGGTGAGCTTTAATGAAAAGAACGTTAGGTAAATCGGTAATTTCTGTAATTCAAGCGACACAGAAAATCTCGGAAAAAGAAAAATACAAAATAACTGGGGATATTGCTGATGTTTCAACGATCAGCTTCTACATTTAATCATCGAATCAATCAATTCATCGTCACTGCACATACATCGTAAAGTCAAGAAATCCGAAATTTGAATCTTGTCTTCGTCGTTTTTATTGAAAGATATAAATTGAAAGGTATTCAAGATGAGCAGCGTAAACGTAAATCGAAGCGTCAGCGATGCCTTCTATCGTTACAAAATGCCTCGCATTCAGGCGAAAGTCGAGGGTAAAGGCAACGGCATCAAAACCGTCATCGTTAACATGGTCGAAGTTGCTAAAGCTATCGGACGCCCAGCAACTTATCCGACGAAGTTCTTTGGTTGCGAATTGGGCGCGCAAACGCAATTCGATTTTAAGAACGAAAGATTCATCGTCAATGGTAGCCACGATGCTTCTAAACTTCAAGATCTCTTGGATGGCTTCATCAGGAAATATGTTCTGTGTCCGTACTGTGACAATCCCGAAACCGAACTGCTTGTTAATGCGAAGAAAGGCACCATCTCACAGGTAAAATTGTACTATTTGTTTGTTTGTTTGTTTGTTTTTTTTTTTTGAAAAATCACGAACTTGTTAACAATTTTAAAAGAAAAAGAACTTTAATCGTTATTATCCTAATAGCTTTCAAAATTACATTTCAAATATCCGTTTAAATGCTATCGTCAATAATTTGTTTATACAGGGTTGTAAAGCCTGCGGTCATCACGGAATGCTAGAGAGCAATCATAAACTGAACACATATATTTTGAAGAATCCACCAAGTCTTGATCCAGCAGCCCAAGGAAGTTCACTCACTGAAGGCAAACGCGGCAAAAGATCAAAGCGTGCTACAAATGGCGATGCCAACGGAGATCGCACGGGCTCGCCCGACAATGAAAACAACACTAATAGCACAACTGATATCGTCGTAGAAGCTCCTGAAAAAATGGGTTAGTTCGTAATATTTCATATTCATAAAAGGTTAAATGTCTAAAATGTTGAAAATCAATCTTTATGCTAATTAATTAAATCTTCCCGTACAAATGTATCCATAAAGCATGAAGTAAAGTGAAACTATCGCAAACGTATTATGAATGAGAGTTAGAAAAGTGATATTCTTTGCTGTAGTGCAAATCAAATAGCTTTTGGAATTTAAAGATTTTAAATTGTACGTATTTTTGGTGAAAGTATTACTTTAATTGGACATTTTTAAACAATTATCTTTAGAAATTGTAGAACGCCATAAAAATACTAGATTTCGAAAGAAATACCATCTAATATATTAAAACAAAAAATTTTTTAATTATCTAAATGATTAGATTTGTCAATTGATTTGAAAAATTAATAACTTTAAAAGATTACAATTAAATTGAGTACAGTTAAATTTGAAATCCTTAATTTTTTTATTATTTGTCTTTATTCTGTAATGTGGAGAGAATTATGTCGATATGTGAGAACTAAATGTACATCGAATTACTATAGTGATATATTTTTCTCGTAACCCTCTTGAGACGGTCTGAAGCTCGTAACCAGGACTCTTATTTCTTAATTATCGCTTAATCTATTTTGCTTGCAATTCAGTAGTCAGTCTCAACATAATAGATTTATCAATCGGAAAAAATAATCATGTTAAGCATTTTTATATCTATACGTAAACTATTATTAAAAACAATAAATAGCAGTAAAAATAAATATTTTAAATATTAATTTACATTACAAAAAAAAAAAAAAAAAAAAAAAAAAAAAAAAAAAAACATGTAACTTCTACATTCCAAGCTTTAGAAAAAGTAAAACTACTGTTGAATTTTCCATATACCCATTCCATTATTAATTAATTTATTAAGGGACTTTCAGTTTTTTTACCTTAATAATTATTCAACATATTCAACTTGACTGCGCCATTTTTAAATTGAAAAATTGAAAATTAATTTGACAATAGCATTAATAAAGAAGTAGATTATTAATAATAGGGTTATGTATCAGAAAGCTGTTATATATATCATTAATTTGTATTTAATGTATACTTTTCACTATTTCCAATAACTTACACCATAAATTATTTTGTAATTTTCTGTGATGGTAATATCTTATTGATCCACCGACGTGTAACACAGAATTTCATGTAGTGTATTCTTATTATTCTTATTAATTATTAGCCAACAAAGATGATAACGGAGACGACGATAACTGGGCCGTGGATGTCTCCGAGGAGGCCGTTCGCGCTCGTTTACAAGATCTGACCGACGGAGCTAAGGGTATGACTATCAGCGATGACCTTGAGAAAAGTGAGAAGGAGCGCATGGATATCTTTTATACGCTGGTAAAATGCCGTCGTGACGCCGGTCAACTTGATAGTTACAAAGAGTTCCTCGCTGAGGCCGAGCGACTCGAGATTAAAAGCAAGGCTCCGTTTGTATTCGCTGAGTTGCTTTTCGATGAAAATATCGCCTACCAGGTTAAAAAGTATAGACCTGTATTATTACGTTTCACCCATAATGACCTCAAGGCTCAGAAGTATCTCATCAAAGGCATTGAGCAGGTCATTGGGCTGCATAAGAGTACGCTATTGAATAAGGTGCCTGGAATCTTCAAGGTGAATACCAACAATATACGAATTTTTAATAATAATGTATTTATATATATATATATATATATATATATCTTTGAAGAAAGAGTTAAGTTTCCAAAAGCAATTCTTAATAATAAAACTATGGATGAAATTCATAATTCATTAAGAACTTGATGATAAAATCAATTGAATTTTATAAAAAAAAAAAAAAAAAAGTCTTATAAATAAAACTGTAGTAATGTAAGATTTATAATTTTAGTAGACACTTAAGAAGTAGTGAAAAATAATAAATTTTTATCGCAGCTTCTCTACGATTACGATTATTTAGAAGAGAAGGCTATATTCGAATGGTCCAATAAGATGAGGAAGAAGCCTGTACCTAAAGATGGTTCTAAAGATATTTCTCAAGAAATTCACGAGAAGGCTGCACCTTTTCTAATATGGCTCGATGAGGCTGAGGAAGAGAGTGATTTCGATGACTCTGATGATGATACGGGTAAATCAGATGATGATGATCTAGAGGTGAGAGACAGTCTTGCTTATTATATTATTTAATATAATATATTTAACTGTGAAATTTAAATATTTGAATATTATTTAACTGTGAAATACCAATTATTGTTTATACTAATTTTGCATTAAATAAATAAATCAAACAAATAAATCAAAATAAAATCATTTTACTATTTAATATCTATATATTATATGGATTTACATTCTTTAGATTCAGTACGATGATAGAGCAAAAGAACCGCTAAAAAATCAGCAACAGCAAAATCAGCAGACGCCGATGAAAGTCGTTGACGATTCTGAGGAAGGAGATGATGTTGATATTGATGCCATTTAAAATCAAAAAGAAAGCTGAATCGCCAAAGCCAAAAGACGCAACATACGATAATAGAAGAAAATAATAAATGCGTCAATGAATTCCACAATTTTGCAACGGGATACAATGAGTCGCAATAAAAAAGATTTTCCGCTAAGATATGATAGAATTTTTCTTCCTTATAATAAAATAAAACTGAGCGAGAAAAAAGTAACTTGCAGTATAACATTAGAAGTCGCTGCATTTATATAGAAAATTTTATCTATCTTTTACGCTCTTATTTAGCAGATAGTTCCTTAATTTTTTCTTTGAATTTTTTTTTTTTTTTTTTTTTTTTTTTATTTCATAGGTGAAGACGAAAAATTGAAAATAATTATCCAATTTTTCATTTTCATACGCGAGATTTTTTGTTAATTTTTTGATCGTTAATAGAAGAGTTATCTGATAAAAGCGTTCTCTATTGTATCTACAATTCTCATAATTATTCAAATAAATATGTTTTATCGCAATAATGCATTTGTATTTTTAATTGCAAAATCCTTAATAGTTTCCTGAAATCTTTCATAAACGAAACAAAAATTACATAATCCTTTGTAAATTTATATGTTGTATAATCTTCCATTTCGTTATTAATTACTCCAATTGTTACCTGCGATTGAACAAATAAAAAAAAAAAAAAAAATTCATTTGTCAACGTATCATCGAATGATAAGTGGTTTTAAAAATAAACTAATTATTCCCAATATTTATTTTATCAAATACAGGAATTAATATTTTCTAATTAAGAATTTGTAAAAGCCACTAGTATACAAAATGATATAAATAATATTATTTCGTTTTGTTACATCTACTTACATGCGTAAACACATGTACAATAAAAATAACTGGCATTCTAATTAGTTCATGAAAAATTTAAAAATCAATAATATACTAATGAGATATGAATAAAGAAATAATTTTTATCCAACAGCAATTAAACTAAGGAATAAATAGATGTTTATTAGAAGAAATCTAAAGAAAGAATTTTAAATGAAATTCTTCGTTTTAATTAAGTTTCGTGCTTTTTCATAAGTAAAAACTTAAATTACCGCTAATTTGTGACAATTCAATTTGACCAATTGGAAATAGCCGACTTCCTATATAAACAACACACATCTAATAACAAAACGGAATAGTCGTAGGGTGGGGATAAGACAGAACGAAAACGACGACAGTAGTAAAATGGCGAAGGTAAACGTTGAGAGTCTCCGACTTCGACCTAATACTTCTGATGAAAATTACACGATTTTAAGAGAGGTCCAAATTCGAAAAGAGGTTAAATCTCCTTGCTATTATTAACACTTAAAATCTAGAAATTTATTTATTGATATTATTCATGTGAACGTAATAATTTAGCGGCATCTAACATTGAATTTGTTTAACTTGTTTAGGTGGACACAAGGAAACAGGACGAGCTCAACGTTCTTTTCGATTGCATCAATGCAGAATGCGCTTCGAGGTCGTTAAAGGAGAAGAGAAAAGCATTAACTTCATCCGAAAAGCAAGATGTAAGGGCACTTTATGAGTTAGTCTTGTTTCCATTGAGTTTATTCAAAACATAACCTTATGCATTTGTTTTTACTCCATATAAAACAAATTCACGTTAAATTTCAATCTTTAAAATTTATATTTAACTACATTCGAAAAAAGAGTATAAATTTATTCATTTATAGATCAAATTTTGTTGATTAAGAAAATTGATTTACAATTAGAAAAAAATAATTTATATATTTCAATAATGTACGTAATTTATTGTTATTAAAAAGTATTGAAAATGAAAAGAAATTTAAAATTCTTGTATTAAAGAGAGGAATGATAAGGTTTTAACAAAAAAATTTTGTATGTAAATATTAATTTATAAAATTCATTTTAAGCCAAGTACTTGACAAAGTTGTGCCATCTGCACGATTGATGAATCATCTGTTGCAATATATTTGTTTCATAATTTGGAACTTCTTTTGAAATTACTCAAAAGTTTATAAACATAATTCTCTTAATCTATATTTATGTTTAAAATTTTTAATTCTCTTTTATTGTGGCAACAATGTTATAATTTTGTTTTATTGCTAAAATTTTTAAGCCATCCTTAAATATGTTTCTATGTAAAAATTAGAAACAGATTATAAATACAGTATTTTAATTTATTAAGTAATCAATACATACTAATTTGAATATTTGCATGTTAACCATACATTAATGATATATTTAATTACATTATTTATTATCAACAATTTTTCTTGAAATTATTTTTTAAATTGGGCATCTTGATTACAAAAATAATAAGTTATTTAAATAATACATTTTCTTTCTAGAAAAGTATAAAAGCAGTTCATTATGGGCCTGTGCCTGGATTTCGATCGGGTAAATGGTGGGGTATTCGAATGGACTGTTCTAGAGACTATATACATGAACCCTTTAACGAAGACATTCATGACGGTCCTTTTGGAGCTGTATCCATCTGCACCTCACATTTAAATACTCATAATGATGTAGATCTAGGGGATATCCTAACTTTTACAAGCCAGAAATACAGTAAAATAGAACAGTCCAAAGACTCTTTGATATTGAGTTATAAAAATAGAGTTCCCATAAGACTTGTAAGAAGCTATTGTCTCTCAAACAGTTATGCACCAAAAACTGGCTACAGGTATGATGGATTATACACAGTTGTAGATCACTGGATAGGAATTTCTTCCGATACAACAAAATACAATAAATTTGTCCTTATTCGAGTGTTTGAGCAAGAGCGTCCATCTTGGGTTGAAAAGACACCATCAAAAGTTTTAAAAATAAAAAAATCCATTACACCAAGACTGACAAGAAGTAATGTTAATATTAATCATTGCGAACCAAAGACTACAAAATTTGTGTATAATAATGTTCAAAAAGAGTCAAAAGTAAGTAACGTCAGTGCAATAGTATCGAGACAAGTTTTCAAAAAGTTTATTCCAGACTCACCCGATAGTTCTCCAAAGTCTGTTTCTAGTACAGATTCTGCTGGACAAAGTTCCTGTCCTAGTACCTGTCCAGCAAAATTGTGCAATACAAATCTGTCAATACGTACAAACTTGTATGACTCTTCACATAAATTACAGGAAGTGAAAAAAGGTACTTCTATGACATTTTGTAGAATTTTAAAATCCAATCAATCGATACAGCCTATGCAAAAAAATCTTCAAACAGAAACTGAGAAAATGAACATAGAATTACCAGAGATAGAAGTGGCAGACAAAATTAAAATAATTAATAATTCAATGGATGATAAATGTGCAGAAAGAAAAATTAAAAAAGTAACTTGGGCAGATTCTTGCATTTCTACTTCTAATAGTATTGAAAAATCTCTTCCAACAACTGGAAATGGCTTTCAGTATAGTGGCTCTGGTGTCGTCGATGGATTTAGCCCAACATCACCAAAACAATGTATTTTAGCTTGCAATAATATAACAGAACATTTATCCATAAAAAATTCTAAATCAAATAACGTATTAAGTCCCAGTACAAAAAATCATCGACACATCGTTCAAATTCATTCCAAATTAAATACTCCGCAGACTTCAAAGGCCAGTTTTTCTACAATATGCGAATCGTTTCATGAGACTGAAAGGCTTAATGATAGTTCATCGAGCATCGATACACTAGCACCTGATGAATTAGTAAATGTAATAGTTAAAGAAAAATATCACCCAATGGCCAAATTATTAATAGGAAATATGATTGGTTTGGAGAATCAAGAATCTGCAATTTTAAGTGCATATAATACTTTAACTTCAAAGGTCGATCAAGATGACACTATTAAGTCCAAGGAAAATAAAATACGCAACAAATTTTATATTAGAAATAAATCAAAGAAAAACGGAGTCATTCAGAAGCAAAGACGAGAAATCACCAATTTAATAATCGATGCCAAATTCAATCCAATAACGCGGGGATTAAGAAGTCGTAGACTTCGTTCGCTCAAAAAACGCATATCCAAGTCTGAGTTATCTCAACGAAAGCTCATAAATGCTCAAAGGATACAAGCACGAAATACAATTGTTAATAAAGAAATTTCAAACACAATCAGAGAATTGGAGCCAAAGAAGATTGAAAAGAGAAAAATAGAAGAAATTATAACTAAGAAGCAATCAAAAATGGTTAGTACATGGACACAGTGTACGTTACTTTCAGCACCATCGGTGGATCAATCTATACAAATTGGTGATTCATATATCGAAACTTCTATATCAGAATCAGATATAAAAGTTGAATTAGTGGATTTAGATGATATAAAATCAGAGCCATGCGATGCAGAATCAGGCTCTGAAGAAATTCCATCAGAACCTGTTATGAGTCGCACCGAAAAAAGTTGTATGTATTATTTATTTTTTATATTTACAAAATATTTTTATATAATAATATCTCTTATGTATTTACTATAAGAAAGTTTTTGTGTCGGTTTTCTTATTTCATAATAAACATTCATAATATATTTTTACATATGAATAAATAAATAGAATTTTATATTTTAAATAAGTATTTTATGTAAGTCCATAATGAATGCTGTATAACTAAAAACCCTTTAAATTCAAAAGAATAAGATAAAACTTTTTAATTATTAAAATTACAATACAATTTAAGTATACTGTGTAGTCTAACATATCAAGTAAATATCATTGGTCAATTTTAAGTATTAAATTCCGCGTGTCTGGTAATTCATAATTTAACAATATAGTATACCACGACTGTACATGTACGTACTTAAGAAAAAAAAAAATAAATTCTAATAAATGTATAATTTTAAAATAATAATTAAATAGCTGATTAATTCATTGAATTGTAATTACACCTAAATACATATAATAAATTTTAATGTTAATTTTAGAATGATGAATTATAGAATATAAATGAGAAGTATAATTTATAATACTAATAGCAATTATAAATTATATATACAAAAGTGATATTTATATAAAGTTAATTACATAAAAACTATAAATATACGCACAATTTTTTCATATTAATCAATTTTAAATAAATGATCAAATAATTTGTATTATATAAAATATTATTAATAATTTATTTAAATTTTCATTTAGATTTCAGTGGCTCCGCTTTTGCTGCAGTAGACACAATCAATAGCAGTATTCGAATAACGAGATTGAGATCCATTGGTTTTAGACCCATAGGAACTTATTCTCCTTTAGAGGATGAAGATTGGAATGAAGACTCTTCCAGACCTGACGTCAATGAAGAATACAATAAATACACTAGCGAAGAGAACAATGTAGTAGGCTACATGGATGAACAGCTTCACTTTGAAGACATCGAGGAAGAAGAAACGATAGACACTGCAGAAGAACAAGTGATTGTAGATAAAGCATATGAAAAACAATTAATCAGAGAATCTTCGCAACAAGTTATCGAAAGCTTGTCAGAGCACGATTTCGATAAACCTTGGCATGGCTGGAGGAAAATATCTATCAATGGACAGATATATTGGACTGGATATTGATTTTTTATTTGACTTGAGCAAAATTTTACGTTTGTTTATTCTAAACAGCGTCTTACTCCACGTTCTGTATAATTTTTGTTACTCTAAAAAAGATACGATGGGCAAAAAAAATTCTTGATGAATAGTATTTACTTCTAAGTAAAATTATTTTTGAAAAATATTAAATAATAATCGATTCATGTATATAAAAATGATGAACTTAACATAGTTTTATTAGAGTAATAATTATTATTTTAGAACATAGTACAATCCAAATAAAAACAGCTTTGATAATAATTTGATTTTTTATATAACTAGTACATTGTTAATAAAAATTAGGTAGAAAAAAAAACTTAATAAAATTAACCAATGTTTGCAAGACTTAGCAAAATTGTAAAAATTGTAATTTCGGAGAAATGAGTAGTATTTAACAAAGTGCTAGTTATATTAAGAGATAGTTTAAATAAGTGTTAAAAGCACTTTTTTCTTTAATGTTACTAATAGTGGATGCTGGTCATTCCCAAAGATTGTTATTAGGTTGCCTTTTGTACATATGCAAAAATATATAATTTAACTATTCTTTTTTTTTTTTTTTTATAAAATTATAAAATACTGGATATCACTTGAATCTGCTGCTCTTTTGTTTACAATAATTAAATATTTAAATATATTTATTTATAATTATAAGATTATATTTTATGCAAAAGGAAACTAAATTTTATTTTAAAAATTATAATACTAACATTTTTATTGCAAAGCATAATAAATATATGTGATATCAAATATTGTAAATATTTTTTATGCTATTATGTCAATGTATTTTAAATTAATTACTATAATAGCTCTTAAAGAATTCTACAAAATAATTAAAAATATATATATAAATAATATAAATACATATATATAAATAAAATAAATAAAAAAATTAACTTTAAATAATAATTACAGATAATTTCCATTTAAAATAATATACTTTTATTCATTCACTTCCAATTTTTAGTTTTCATTTATCATTTTTAATTACATAATAATAAATTTTTATACTTATGTTTTTTAGAAGTCAATTGTTGTTATGAAACAAAAATTATAATATATATTATTAATTTTTAATAGAATATAAATAAATTTTTTTAATTACTAATAAATTTTAATAAGTCCTAAATTTTAAGAATTTGTAAGATTATTTAAAGCATAAATCAAAATTAATAATTTCAAGTATTGTTTAATTGTAAAAATATTTTTAGTGATATCCAGTAATGCATTCAAGGTAATTGAAAAATTGATTATTGACTGACTAATAAAGTATAAAATATATCTTTTTTAAATAAAAATTATTATTAAAAAAAAAATAATACTATAATATTATTAATTAATAATATTGTATATATAAATCTATCTATAAATTAATATATTTTAAGCGGATAATGTTATTTAATTTTAATTTAAACAAAAAAAATTAAAACATTGAAGGACAATTATTAAATACCTTATTACAAATAGTTACATTACTAAACCTAGATTAATGATTATTACATATTGAAACAAAATTTATAATATAAATTAAAAATTATATTTTTCATTGCCTTGAAAGTTTTTAGAATAGATGAACCTAATATCATGAATTTATGTATTGTAGCATAAGTATCATTAACTTTTTATACCTAAACATATAAATTATAATGTGTGATAATGTGAAAAGTGTTTAAGTTGATAGGAAGTGCCTGATTAATTCAAAGCTTAATTGAACCATTCGGTAAATGGTATTGTAAAGTGTTATATTCATTTAAATCTATTTAGTAAATATATCAAAATTCATTAGTGATTAAAACATTACCTTAAAAAAGAAAAAATAGAGTTTAAAGAAAAATTAAGTACATGTGTGCATTTGTATGAATTAAATAAATGTGCTTGGGCGTATGTGTACAATTTTTAATCAAAATACTTGTGCAATTTTTTTTATTTTAAACAGTGTATAATATTATTAACTATTTTTATTTTATTTATTTATTTTTTTTTTCTTTTTTAAAAGAATTTAACGTTATAGTAAAAAATAGGTTTTCGCTACAGTTCATTTAACTATTATTTTGGAATCATTCATTGTTCTAAAAAAATCATGTCGGTTGATAATCGTTAAATAAAGCAATTTTATTGTGCTTATAACATATATAGCAAAAGCTTTTGTCTAACATTGAAGTTGAAATTAATATCTTTTTGCATTGATTTGCACAGTTTTTTTTAGATCAAACTTTGTATACCTCTCAGAAAAATTAATTTGTTGACCAAAACACAGATAATGTAAATACTTGCCACATCCAAGCTTATAATTTTCTATAAATGTAAAGTATAAACTGTCGATTTAATTATTTTCATGTTATATGATTGTTGCTGATTGAAGTGAAAAAAATGAAAACTTGAATCAGAGTTATTATTATAATACGTGTATTTATTAACATTTTTATTTTTTAATTTTATATTTCCTTTTACGCATTTAGTACTATGTGTGTATATATATATACTTTTGAGAAAAATTTAATCTCCGTGTTTTGACTAATAAATTAATATTGTCTACAATGCCTAAATTAAAATATTGAATTAGTTTCAATATTAATATTGTGACATAATACTTTGTAATTATATTCAATGACCTTAAGTCCTTATGCAGAAAAGGAATTTGTAAATTTATTAATATTTAAACAAATATTACGTTTGAAATAGATTTGAAAAAATCTTAAAATATATTTAAGCAAAATCTTGGATACATGGACACATCTGCCTTCTTAAGCTAATTAATTAGGATGATTGAAAAAACAACAAAGAACTGATTATAACTTATATTGATATTAGAATTTCTTTGAGAAAATTATGACCGATGTATTCACAATGTTCTTAACACTCGCTTATCACTGATGCCCTCCACTTTAAATCTTTACTCTAAACTTATTCACTTTTAATATTTCTTATTAGTTTTACGTACACTTTTAATTAATATTTATGTTTTCATATTTTATATTTATTATTCTAATCCTTTAATTTTTGTTAACTTTTTAAAGATTTGTAAGCTTATTGTATCAGTTAACTTACTTTAATTGCATCATAATTTCTTATTACTCGTTCAAAAACCCATTTGAAATTGTAGACTATAATACTTACGAATTTATACGCCGAGACATATTGACATTTCTATTATCTTTCACTCAAAATAGAAATAATAAATCAGGAACGAGAAATCGTAAAAGATTATGTATTCCTTGCATTTTAACATACGTAAAAGTGTGATTCGATTACATAAACAAATATCAGCAACATTTAAGTAGTTATTTAATAATTCATGAATACAACTATAAAGATATCTCACTATGATTAAATATAAAAATCCAATGTTTAGGTAATATATAATTCATTTTACTAGAAAGTGAATCATTGTTTATTATATCGATAATTTTTAAAATAATAGTTTCGATTACAGCTCAAATAATATAAAAAAAAATTATAAGAACCAAGAGAAACAATCAACTTTTTAAAATAGGAAACATATAATACTTTAATGGAAAAAGACAAAAGAAAAAAAAAAAAAGAAAAAAAAAACACCTCAAAAGTATATTCGATTTTTCAAATGGAAATTTTGGTATAAAAATACATATCTAATATTTTTTACTCTTAAGTAAAAGCTTTCTCGCCACTCGTAAATCACAATCACAATAATCTCATGAATTTATTTGGATTAATGAGTGGCTTGGATAGTATTTCATTTAAATACTCAGTTCATTGATAAAAATAATACGCGTTTTTATATTGTCCATTGCTCTACTTGAAATATCTATCGCGAAATATTCATAATATCGATTAAATTCATTCGGTTTTCTTATCTTAATCTTTCGCTGATCCGTTTCTTTTATTCTTTCTAAGTTTGCCTCATACGAGCATCCTCAAACACACAATCTGATATCAAAATTTGTTTCAATGTACAAATGGTTGACATCTAGCTTTATACACGTAAATATATAAGTCTCAATTCAATACTCTAGCTATTTAGTAATTGTTATTCTACATTTTTTAATGGCCTTAATCTTATTAATAATTTTTTACTCATATGTGTTAATGTTTGTACAGAATAATTATTTGAACAATAACTTATATCTGCATATCAGTCTATCTCTATAATAAAGGTGTCTTCACTTATAATATGTAAAGTTGGAAATTTTAGCTCTTGCGCTAATGGTCAATTTATTAAAAATGTTCATAATTTTCATTGATACTGTTAATTAAAATCTTACGTATTCGATAAATGATCAATATGATCCAATTATTTTTAATTTAACTAATAAAGGCAAAAGTAAACCAAAATGAAAAAGTAAGTAGAACATGAGTATCGATGAATCATGCAGAATATCAATCATAAATTTAGAGATAATATAAACAGAATGATTGTTTGGTCATGAGCGTTTGTATCATTTCTGCGACGATAAATGTTTTGCCATTAAATATATGTAAATTAACTATTCAATTATAGAATATATTAGCATTTAGTCTTAACCATTTGGACTGAACAAATTCTCTCCAGGTCGAACAAATTTTAAAATGATTGCTTTCTTTATAAGAAACTTGTTAATACACCAAATATCGAAATGTCTTCGATTTAATAACGAAGAAATTAATTCTACTAAATCAATAATTAATAACTTGATGAACTTAAAGTGGAATAACGATATATGGTGTTATTAAATCAATACACATATCACTAACTTCTTTTTCTTGAAATTATCAACTCTATCTAAATAGCAAATAGCAAAAGAAAAGAAAAATCAATTATTAATAGCGAAATAAATTATGCGTTTTATTATTGTACTGATTGAATTGCCATCATTTGCCTGAAATTCTCGGCTCGGCATTAGACCAAATTTTCCAGATAAAAAACTTCATTGACATATAATTGCGTTGTTTGAGGTATTGCAAATATGATGCAATGTTGAGAATGTTGAAAATGCTCATGTAATGCATCGTCGTTGTGTCAATCTCATACGTAACTAAGTTTCGACTCCTTTGATACCTTTACTTTAATATTTGGATCAAAGACAAACTTTATGTCCCAAGCTCACAGAGATATGACAATAACGTTAATA